ATTACTTATACCTTCCTACTATCTAAAAGTATCTAATACCATACTTTTCTAATATCTTAAGTATCCATTACAACTAACCTCTTCAATGTCAGTATTAAATGTGATCATTAACTCAAATAAATACCAATCATTGGAATTCTGGTCTATGACTTTGGAACATAACTACTTAAGTAAAGTTCTCCTCCCCGATCGTTCAAGATGATCTCTGAGTTGCCAACTTGCAGTTAGCTTTGTTCGTGCAGGAAGGTAAAATCGTAATTTATCTTGCTAAGTGGAGTCAATGGTCACTATGTTACATGCACAACATTTGAGTTACGGCGACAAACAAATCTTTTAAACATCGGATCCCCCGCATTGTAGAAGTCGCATATCTGTAAACAGCTTCTGATGCGGTGGCGATAAGTATGCCGCCAGCAATCAAAATAAAAATGAGATCTTCCTTTATAAATTCCGATCACTAATGACCTGCAGGGCTGGGGAAAGGTAAAAAAGTGTTTTCGTTTCCTTAATAAGTCCAAACCCTTTTTATCAAACCCAACATTTCGGTATTGTTACCGCCCAACCTCATTATATCAGGGACCTACTTACATCCTTTGCCCAGGCTTAGTTTGTGATTTCTAGCATTGATAACTCGGACATGTGTACAAACTTTAATTAGCAAACTTGTTAAAACGGACTATACATTTCTCTAATTCGCTAGGTAATTGCGAGTTTGATTTAGATTATATTTACAGTTTAAATACTCGCGTCCACACTCACAACTCCAACCAAACTACAATCAAACCCAAACATAACTTACAGCTCACTCCAGGCTCGGGCACAGGTTTAAGACACTCACTCTCAGACTCCCACACAAACACGCGGCGGAACACTCACAAACTAGCTCTCTCCTTTCTACCGGCAACTGTCAGTGACCAATTAAAACTTGGACGACTGAGCTGACGAACAAGACCAGAGTGGGGTTTAGAACTAGCAGAAAATACCAAAGCTTTATTCCCGCACAGAGCCATCTAATAAAGGTGTTACTAAAGGTTGGGTTGCAGGAGTGTACGAAGGAAAATTATCTGATAATGGAAGTTCGGTGAAGTTCACGTGTGCGTATAGGGTACACTGTGTTACACTGTGCTTCTGAAAGAGGAAGAAGAAGAACGTGCTGTTAGCACAATTAACTGGTCGCTATATCCTAACTTAGGAGAGAGCAAATATATGAGTGCATATAATATAGTGTCATATAATATAGGTTCATATTAATATAGTGATAAATATAGTGCATTATGATTTAGTGCATATTCTATAGTGCATATAACTATAGTTCATTATTTAACCTAGCCGGATCTGCACAGTAGCTCACTGGTTAACGTCTCCTCCAGTGATGAGTGGTGACCATAAGTGCTCGTGTAGAAGGCTGGCTCACAAAGCGAGGATCTGTAGCTTCCGCTTCTCGTAAAATACGGAAGACACTTTTTAATTTCCTGGTACGAGTTGCGGGTGTAAAAACTGGGTTTTTGAGTTATGTAGTTGTTACACAGTAGAGAGAGAGAGAGAGAGAGAGAGAGAAAGCAATTAAGCCCGCAGTTTCGTGACTACGTTCACCCTGTAAATCAGCATGCGGAGTGTACGTGTCACAGCGAGTGTGAGTGTGTAATTAACGTGCTTGTAAGAATTGCAGGCAAAGAATTTAGAATTGGCCTATAGGGCGGCACAGTGCTTATATCAACCAGTAACAGTTATTACTGGTATTGCTAAGGAAATTGCTGCGTGTGTTCTCATAAAAGATACCCATATTAAAGTGTGTGGTAACACCACAACTTAAACTCTTACCGTTATAATTACTTTACAAATCGACTTTACAAACCGCCACTGAAAATACAAGGTCATAAAAAGATTTGATCAACTTCCCGAGAATGTAGGGTATCGATGTATTATAATGCGCACGCCCATTATGTTGGAACATAATTTGAGTCATTACAAAACAGTAATTCGAGAAAGATCGATATATTGCACTTTAAGTCCTGGTACCGTAAAGAGGGAGTTAGCTACTGGTATAGACTGGTTACTGGACTACTCGACTCAAGTTTCACTGACTGTTATGTCAAGTTTGCTTATTGCATGCTTATAGTAGGGACGTGATGATGCATTACGCAGTGAGGTAATGTGAGTTATGTTGCGGATTTTTTGTTGTCATCAAATCAGGTTTATTGGACCGCGGTAAGACTTAGTCAAAGTACATATCGTTAATCTCGATGAAGATTCACGAAACTTTCTAAAATGGCTAGATTGTCATAGCGCTGAGCAAGTAAAGTGGTCAGTAACCAAGGTTCAAGTACCATAACTAGTTATTAACCATAGTATAATATCATAAAATAACCAACTGGATCATGCCCGGCCCTTGCACGTTACCACTACTCACTGCCTCATCTTCTGGATGTCATTATCTTTAGTTTAGTTGAGGATTCTCAACACCCACTTTCAAGTCGATTACTCTCGACCCACTTAGTCCACATACCTTGCAAACTTACAGCAAGAAAACAACAATTTTATTTAGTATCAATTAAAGCAAACATAAGTATATTTTAGCAAACATAAATATATTTTATATATAACTAGCAGGACCTTTTTACCAGATATCTTAGGGGACTTGGAGTAGCAAGAGAATGGATAGAAGGTATATACCTATTACAAAAATACGTCAAAAAGAATCCAGGGTGATACAGGATCGGACAGTGCAGACCGTAAAGTTTACGCACCCACCCTTGCCTCCTAAATTCTTGGTTGGGTAGGCATTTATGCGAACTTGGTCGTTTATACTCCAAGTCCCTTTGTTAAAATTAATAAAATTTATCTCAGGAGTTAACTTCATTCAACAATAATAGTATCAATATCAATTTATCGCATAAATTTAACTATCGAATACAGGTTTGATTATCGAATATAGGTTTGATTATCAAATATAGGTTTGATCTGATATAAATTTGTAAACTAAAATATTTAATTATTAAAAACATTACATCAAGTGGTTAAAAATGGATCTGAAAGCTTATCAGCTTATAGTTCAATCAAGTAATGATAGTAATATTAGGTGTGTGCCGCTGCATGTGCAATTTAATTACTGCAATTTAAAATTGGTTGGAGTCCAGGTATCTTTTAAGTCAGCTGCCTGTGATTGTACTAATAGTGCTTTGGTTCTCAATTTTATCAAGTTAATGGAAGTTTCTAGGCAATTGCTCGAAGTTAAAATTTTTAATGAACTGTGTTCCAAAGCTTGGCTGCATTAAACAAAAAGGTATTTGATTTATTTAGAAGAATAACAGTTAGACTCGTTGCACGGTTTGAAATGTTGATGGCCTCATAAAGGGAGTAGGGGCAGTGGTACTTGATAATCTTAGAGAATTCTAAAATGCAGTGATATTTGTACAAGTTTTGAGCCGTTAGAATTTTTAGTCTATTAAAAATGGGTTTTGTATGCTCCTTTTCAAAGTGTTTATGGTCTAATTGTTGCATACCATACGGTCTAGTACGTGCACATGTTGATTGTTTATCTAAATATGAGTCAAGATCACCAAAAAGGATCCTTACACAGTGCTTCTGTGTGATAAAAATACTGTCATTTGATCGTTCTTTAAGGACAACGCCCCAAACACTTATACCATAACTGAGATGTGATTCAAAGAGAGCATTATATATTTTCAAATATAAACAGCACGGTATTTTTAATGGTCTAAGTTCCTAATATTCGCCAAAGATGGTCCCACTAGTCAATCTTAGGAGGAGAGAAAGCTTAACAACAAATTAGGTGGCTGCATTTTGTTTTGATTTTATTAGGTCTTAGTATTTATCCCCATTGTTTTAAAATTTTAAGAGAACTCTCCTTAAATTATTTTAATGCAGTCACTCAGATATGTTTATACCAGGACACTTCAACAAAGACACATACTTTGCCCACAATAAGGGGCCATAATTGTTTCAATTATGTAACTGTATAGAATTATTATTGTTATTATTAATTTTATATTTTGGATGAATAGCAAGATTTCAGTCCAAAGGAAGATCAAAATCTACGAGGCACAAGTAGTCTCTATTCTACTCTACAACTGCAACTCCTGGGCTGCACCACTAGCTTCGTTGAATGAACTTGATATTGCTCATCGCAAACACCTCCGAAGAATCCTCAACATCAGATGGCCTACTGGGGTTATTTCTAATGAGGCACTCTATGCTCGTTGTTATGTCACTCCCTTGTCTGTGAGAGTCTCTAAGTTTCGATGGAGAATGTTAGGACATATCTTAAGAGGACAGGAAGACTCACCAGCATACACCTCTATGTTATTTGCTATAAATTCTGATATTTTTTAAACTTATTAGATGTTATTAGAAAAGACTTGACTAGTAGAAATCTTGATATTAGACTTAAGAATTTGACTGATTTCGAAGACCTTAGATTTTTAGCTTTAGATAGGGAGGAGTGGAAGAAGTTAGAAGATGGTTGATGTTTTTCTTTTCTTTTTTATGCGTTTTGATATCTATAAGGTGCCTAGGATGCTCTTTTAAAGAGATATTTCGTACTTTGAAAGATTTACTACTACTACTACTATTAATTTTATAAGTTACATTGGAGTGTACTGAAAGATTTATTGAATTGTTATGAAACATCGATTCATGCTTTATTATAATTTGAGGATAGGATGAAACCTAGACACGCTTGAGTGTAAGACCAAAACCCCTTTTTTGTTAAATAGAGTTACATGAAATATTAACAATACACATCTTGCACTAGCCACTACCTGAGTGAAAGTCTTTAGAGCAATCAATTTACTAGGAGTTAAGCTCTCAACTGAAGAAGCTTAATGTAGAATTCAATAGAATTTTAAGAGCTTAAATAGAGACTGATAGTTATTGATTATTTATAATAAGTTCCTAACCAGACTAATCACGTTTTGGTAACAATTTCAAAAGTAAAGATAATTATCAATTATGTGCTTCTTAATGTGCGATATTTTATAGAATGGAAGAAAGTGACCAGGCAACCGTAAGATGGGATGAATATGCAGCAAGATGGCTGAGGGCCAGGTTGGGCTACATTCTACTCATCATTTACATGTTGGGATTATGTTTCGCTATCCCGCTCAGTGTTAACGAGCTCGTGAAGAGGCATGCTGAGGTGAAATGACAAAAAACATTGTGTTTCAGAACGATCTAATATTGAGTAATATTCAATATGCATTGAAAGTTCTAGATTTTCATTACGCTCTACACTTGATTATTGGTATTTCCTATTCAATAAGTTCTAATAATTTTCTACCTTCAGAAACATGTGGTTGTCTGGTTTGTGGCTGGGGTGTTTGTTTACATGACGATACCTATCACTACTGCAGGTAACCATGACAGCACTAGCTGATATTACTCTGTTTTTATCCTCAATTTTATTCAAGGTTTAGTCAAGAGTATTCAGTTGTTGAAAGTATAATGCTGCCAGCTGATTGAAAGTCAGTGAGCAACACTTTGCTTGATATTTTTACAATAACATCATTGCTGTTACCATGGCAATTTACCAGGAGTTGTGCAGCACCTGAAGAACTTCTCCCAGCCTCCCCAACAACTGCGGTTAATCAGGATACTCATGATGGTCCCTGTATATAGCTTCTTTAGTTACCTGGGCATGATACTACATAAACAGACCATCTATTTAGATGCTGTGAGTATATATACGCCAAAACGTTTCGAACCATATCTGGGTTTATTTTATGACGTTTGAAATTTTATTTCCATTAATATTTAAAAATACTGTCTAGTCAAAGACATGAACAATGATTACACGTTGTTAGGTCAGATCAGAGATATTGACAAATCGTCTTAACACCCCTGTTACCCTAACAACACTCCTTCAGATGCGAGAGTGTTATGAGTCGTATGTGATTTACAACTTCATGATGTTCCTAGTAACATACATGTATGAACACTATAATGTAGAACAGTTGCTAAATTACAAGGCTGCACAACCACAGCTCTTCCCTTTCCAGAGGCTACCTCCATGGCCTAAGGTTAGTCTTGTTGTTATTTATCTTGTATTGTCTGTGTAAATATAAGGGTCAATTGACTACCTTTGCCTCTTAGCAACAGTAAGCAACCTTTTCATATACAATAAGAAGTTGAGATCGTTTTATATTTGTACGTGTTTTATTTTCAACTATTTATCAAGCAACGTTATGAAAATCATTGTGTTTCAGGGCAAATCGTTTGTGATATGGTCAAAAAGAGGAGTGTTTGTCTACGTTGTCTCTAAACCAATCACTACTATTATTATGTTGATAGCCGAACTGGCCGGCCACTCTGGAAAGAATGAATTTAGTATAGGTTAGTAATTAGATATTTAGTTAATTAGCTTTTAGTATAGTTCCTGCTTTCTTTTTTATCGTAATTATTAGTGAGAACCTGTATATAATACCCGGCCTCTCGGGGGAACAGTGCATGGTAATTGGTACCATATATAAAAATCCCGGTATAGAGAGGTTCACAAAATCCCACTCCCCAGTACATATAATATAGCTTCTCAAATAACCTGTCAACTGTCAAGCATATCATATATACGTCATTATATTATTATTATATATATGTCATTATATATACGTCATCATATATACGTCATTACTCATTAGGGACTTAGTATGAACGTGTTGTATTGTGATAGAACATTGCTCAGTATTTAATCAAATCACCACAAAATACAATATTATCTAAGATGAATCATATTTCTTGCATAACACGAGCAAATTGAATAGAATTTTGGCAGAAAAGAAGAGGCGCGGTATACAGTTACTCAGGGACAAAAGGAAATCGCGGCATGTGCAGGATCGCATTTTTTGGGACAAAATTTACATGTCTTGCGGTATCAATCGCGGTGAAAATCGCGGTATCGCAATTTTTGGCAAAAATAATCGCGATTTCCTTTTGTCCCTGGAGTTACTCGATATATGTTTATTGAATGATAGATTTTAAAACGATTTCTAAATTTCTAAATTACTAAAAACCTATTTTATTTATTATTTTGTGCAGGTAGTATATGGATGTGGACATTAATAATAGATAACATAGCCCAAATGTGGGCCCTGTACTGTCTTGTTATCTTCTACCAAGCACTTAAACACGAGTTAGCTGGAATTGAACCTCTTCCTAAATTCCTCTGTGTTAAGGCAGTGGTCTTCTTCTCATTCTGGCAGGGACTCTTTTTGGATTGTCTTGTCTTCCTCAGTATTATTAAAGATAGGTGAGTTAAAACATAATCTCAGGTTTTAATAAGCTTATTGTTACAATGTTATTTTAAACTTATAATACTTTGTTATCACTACTAAATTGTAAGCACCATTCCATATTACATGAAAAAAGGATTGAAAAATCGATAATTTAATGTCTTCTTTCTCTTTTTTCTTTGTCTTCTAAAAAACAAACTGATTGTTTATAAATTCCTGTTAATTACTTTATTACAGTAAAAATGAAGGTGGTTACACTGCAGAAGAAACAGCGGAGACAGTGCAGAACTTACTGATCTGTATGGAAATGTTCGGTTTCTCAATAGCCCATCATATTGTCTTCTCTTATAAACATTACGTCTCAGGTAAGCGTTGATTTAGTAACCAGGTAGTAACTTAGTAACCAGGTAGTAACTTAGTAACCAGATAGTAACTTAGTAACCAACAAGTAACCTAGTAACCAACAAGTAACCTAGTAACCAGATAGTAACCTAGTAACCAACAAGTAACCTAGTAACCAGATAGTAACCTAGTAACCAACAAGTAACCTAGTAACCAGATAGTAACCTAGTAACCAACAAGTAACCTAGTAACCAGATAGTAACCTAGTAACCAGATATTAACTGTATGAATTATAACACTTTATCTCCTCTCAGAGATAGAAATACCACCCCCTCAGTTTCTAACTAGTCTATCTCACTTGTTTGACTTCAGAGACGTCAGAACTGATATCAGAACACAGGTAATTGAAACGTTTTTATCTTATTATTTTATAAATATGAAATTTTATGCTCTTTTATCAATAATTGTACATATCATTTTTTAGTTATTATCATTTTATTCCTATCATTTTATGATTTTAGTTGGGTGAAATGGCCTACGGTAGCGGTAAAAAGTCAAGAAATTCGGTAAAACTGTGGAAATTAAAAGTTTCGCTGATTGTTTTTATTGTTTTGATAAAATCTGCGTTGAAAATGGCGAAACTATTGAAATGATTGTTAAAACCATTATTTTAATTCTTAGTAATTTTTAAACTTGTAATAATCCTTAACGTCGCCAAATACCATTTAATTACTAGATAAGTTTGTGTGCGTAAAATATTTTCGACTGCGGTCTGCGATTTCTGAATTTAACCAAGTCGATCCCGAAAGGGGAAACTGATCGTTCATATACCGAACGATTTTGCTTGTCAAACAAACTTGTGACCTTGTTCAGTTTTGAGGTTGTTAAAATATTCCAATACCTAATGTACATCACTTGAATCACTATAACTATTTAATGACCCAACTAATAACCTAGATACCCCCTATCAGTTGGGAGTGAGTGCACAAACAATACGTAACAACTACAGATCTCGTCATACAGAGAGATCACCTCTACTTTCTTCAGAACATGTTGAGTTGAACACTTTTAAAAACTATAACCAGGATAGCAACGAGAATATTTGATAACTAAGCTGAGAAGTGAGAACTAGCCAGAGTCGATCTACAATTTCCAAATACCCAAAATAATAATTGACTAACTGTAGTTTTAAAAACATGCTCTACCTGAATGATGCACCCCTTAATTATTTTGTTGGTACATACATCTATAGCTACTTTTATTCATAATCTTCATACAATGCATACCTCTGCTTTTATTACGTAAAATCAAGAAGAATGTTGTTCTCTCTGTAACACTATACAATAAATTCTTCTTTACTTTTCTAAAGGGTTAAATAATCTTTAAAGATTTTTTAAATATCAATATTATTGTTCTGAAAATGTTGAGCAATTTCAACACTGTACCATAGTGTACAGTGTACCAGTGTAATATAGTGGATTATTTTGTACGTGTAGTTTATATTATTTTGTAGTGTGTTTATGATTCATTAATCTGTATGCACGTGATGTGAATACTGTGTTCTGATTGGTTAGTTTGTGTCACGTGGTGTGAATACTGTGTTCTGATTGGTTGGTTTGTGTCACGTGGTGTGAATACTTTGTTCTGATTGGTTAGTTTCTGTATCCCAACTGTACTTGTAATTGGGACTTTTGGAGTTTTATTTTGTTTTGTTCACAATCATTGCTGTAAATAGAATGAGAGAATAAAGTTTGTTTTTCCATATATTTAATATGATAAATAAGTATCAATCATTGGTCGAATTTCATTTTTTCTTTGATTTATTTCTTAAATTTGTAATCAAGCCACATACAGTAAAACAGTTTAAGTTTGTTTTGTTATAAATATCAAATATGCTTTTTGAATTGAAACGTTAAACTTGTTTTACTCAGATTATGTGTTATGATAATTGTCTCCAAGGCTGGACACCTACACTCAAGCCTTCTTAAAAATCATTTTACGCGGCTAAGTTGAGATAAAAGTACGCTTATATTTGTGCACATAATTTAAACGTTCAGTCAACTCCTTGATCAAATTATTTTTAGAAATGCTACTTTATATAATAATAATATAATAGAATAATAGTACCAAAAGCAGTGTTACTCATATCAGGCTTTAACTAACATATTGTTACAGCTTCATGTACTGATAAGAGGTAGATACAAGAGATAAGACACACAGTACACTGCATGCTCTGAGCTATAGTTTACAAGTTTACAAGTTCCTACAAGACGTGTGCTGATAACACAGAGCGTAGTGAGTTTCAGCAGCTAAACTACAAAGTGTAAACTACACAGTGTAACCATAGTAACCAGTGTAAACTACACAGTGTAACCATAGTAACCAGTGTAAACTACACAGTGTAACCATAGTAACCAGTGTAACACGGACAATGTCCCTGATAGAGACTGAAACTGTAGAGTCCCCCAGACTCCTCCTGTCTAAGTTAAAGAGAGAGAGACCTGTCTGCTTTAGACCCGAGGTTAGCCACACAGGAGATTATATCATTTAATTTAATGTGTTATATTTACTATTAATATACTTACAAAAGAAAATGTAAACTAAATCAGGTTTTAAATTTTAATTCCATGATCTATTGCTGCAAAATAATCATTTAAAGCGGTCTCCGATAACACTTGTACTAAAAATTTCTGTTCCTTATCAAACACATTCTAATGGCCCAGGAGTTTTTTGAGGATAATTTCGATGTGGACACGTTTCTAGCTTTAAACAGGAAGAGTTTCACTTTAGAGAGTCTGAAGAAAGATCTGGAGAATTACTCTACAACTATACAAAACTCACTTGTCGAGCTCATCAACAGGTAGGTTGGAGTATTACCTAGTTACCAAAATTAGTAACCTAGTTACACAATATTAAATTAATAACTTATTAACCAGTCCAAGTAACTTAGTAACCAGCTACAAAATAATTTAGTTACCATCTAATTTCAAGTAATTAACTCCCTCTTATTTTCCCAGAGACTATGCAGATTTCGTGAACCTGTCTACAAACTTAGTAGGAGTGGATCAGACTATACTAAAATTAGAAGCGCCTCTAATAGATATACACGCAGATATCAACATAATATCACAGTCTATAGATAGTGAAGTGCAGCTTATAGCTGAGAAACTACAACTCAGATCTCAAATAAGAAACAAAGAGGTCAGTGTTACTGGTGTGTGTTTATTATGTAATATATATATATTATATTATGTTATTATATTATGTGCATTATGCGGTATCATTCCTGTTACTAGTTTTATAGTAGACATATTATGTAAGTTATAGATAGTGATTAGTGTGTAATGTACATTGTACACTGAGTACACACCCGACACGCATTACTCTTTTGTCGCTACTCAATTGAAGGTTCAACAAAATCCCGTTTTAATGTTTGCAATTTTCACGTACTTTTTACACGAGTGTTGCACGTGTGTTGCACGTGTGTTACACGTGTGTTGCACGTGTGTTGCACGTGTGTTACACATGTGTTGCACGTGTGTTGCACGTGTGTTACACATGTGTTGCACGTGTGTTACACATGTGTTGCACGTGTGTTACACATGTGTTGCACGTGTGTTGCACGTGTGTTGCACGTGTGTTGCACGTGTGTTGCACGTGTGTTGATGCATCTAAAATATAAGCTGTTCAGTGTCTTTACTCTTCACACAGAATAATGTGTGTATAGTAATTTTAAGTTTTAATACTTTCAACACTATTATATAACAAATAATTTGAGGCTTATGTCACTGAAGATGACGCCTTGCAACATGTTTGACGATAGCCTGTAAATTGATAGTTTGATCTCAGTATTTACAATAAATCATCTAGCTTGATTGATTCAAAGGGAGAATTAAATTCCTCTGTGTGTATAGTAATTAATAGATGCAGTGTATAAAATGAACTGTAAAAATAGTGACTAGTGGGCAACTGTGTAGTGTTTATGTTATCTTTATAATAGTTGTGCTTGTAAAATAGTAACCAGTTCTAGTAACCTATTAACCAGTTCTAGTAACCTAGTAACCAGCTAGTAACCAGCTAGTAACCAGCTTGTAACCTAGTAACCAGTTCTAGTAACCAGCTAGTAACCAGCTTGTAACCTAGTAACGTAAGTAAGGTTATTAATAACTTAAACATCATCTATTCAGGAGATACTGCACGGGTTGATGAATATTGAAAAGTTGACTAATAAGATAGAACAACTAATCGACAATCAGACTGAAGGAAAAGAGTAAGTTAGTATTTAAATACATTTATAGTTTATACATAAGTTATTTATATATTTCATTTTCTTTACCACCCTAAGTATTTGTTATCAGAGATGTACTCTTTTGTAACTAGAGATGCTCCGGTTTCATCAAAATTTTTCTCTAAATAAAAGTTCTGAATATAGAAGTATGTAAATTTACACTGTTGTATTTCTGTAACAGTGGGGAACAGTGCACACTACACCTCTATTATCAGGAGTTTGTTTGAGCGCGTGGCCAGTGAGTACAGTCAGCTCCAGTTCTATGTTAACAAAAACGAGAATCTACCTTTTGTCCAGAATATGAGACCGGTACGTTAATTCTTAATAGTATTTTAAAATGTAAACGTTTTTATTCGTTAATTTTCATCATTCGCCTTCTTCTGATGATTTAGCCACTTTCTTCATTCCTAAGATAATTCTAAAGTTTCTTACGGCTGACACAAATAACAACTTTATTAAGATACTGTGTGGTGTGCCGATAACTAATTCTGTAGACATTATATGCAAAATTCTTATTTCAGAGGATAAAGAGAATAAGTGACTATTTGGAAGGTGGGCTTCACAAATCATTTAAATCTGGGCTAAAGAACAACGACAAGAATTCAGTTACACAGTGTTTGAGAATA